GGGCCTGTCCTGACGAGGTAGCTATGGATGCCTGTGTCCTTCTGGGCTATGTCACAGACTGAGAGACCTGTCTCCCCTCTTCCTCTTTCCAGTGTATAGCGCCTGACCATGAGCCTCCCAGGAAACAGTGAAGGAACCTCTTGAGAGTGCAGAGTTCCTGCCTCTAGCCTCTATGCCAAAGACACATCTGGTGCCAGGCCTGGGCTTCAGTGACGAGGAAGAGGCAATGCTTACACGGATGTTTAGATGCTTAAATACTATAGGCACAACTGTCTGGTTCTCATAATGTATACTCTATAGACAGCCGCTGACTCATGATGGTTCAACCTACAATTTTTTGACATTACGATGGGTTTATTGGGACGCAACCTCAGCATAAGTGGTGGAGCATCTGACCTTTAATATTGTAAAATTTCCCTCCCAAAAAGTTATCAGTAATTTTAGTAATTTTTAAGATAGCTTTCTAATAACTTCTTATTTTCCCAAGTGCAAATCTTCTGAAAACTACTTAAATGTCTGTGAATATTATTCCTTCTCTGTATGAAGCCAGTTGTTTAAGAAACAGGAAGGTCATGCGTACATGCCCAGAGAGTGGAAAGTAACACATCAGAACTATAGGAATAATAGATTTTGCACAAAATCCCATGGGAACAACACAGTGACCACACTGGGTAGATGAGAGGGTGAAGAGGAGTGAGCCCAGTGCTGCCTGTGGGCAGCAGCAGCAGAAACGGTAGATCTGTCTCAACGGCAGCTCTCCTAAGTGGGGCCAGCCAGTGCCCAGAACAAAAAGGGCTCCCCCAGAGCCTTTCTCTGCACTGGCTGAAGCAGTGATTTTGAAATAGTCTATCAGCTTCATGTACTGTATTCGCAGAGTCTTCAGGCACAGCCAATGAACAGGATCTTTTCCTCAGGCAGCTTAGCACCATCCTTGTGGCACGATGAGAAGCAGCTCAAGAATAGCCTGTGTGGATGCAGCCTCAAGACACACGGGATCAAGTCATGGGCTACTCTTGTCCTTATTACCACAGTGTTTCAAACACTAGAATTATTCTATGAACTCTCTGTTTTACTTTGTTTCTTAAGTATAACTGTAATGCACACTCATAAAAATTTGAAAAATAAAAGTATGCAGAGGAAAAAAAGTCAACACAATGCTATTTCTCAGAGGCAACTCTGGGCCTACTAATATTTTTTGCACTGTTCTCTCCAGCTTATCTATTATTATTATTATTATTATTGTTATTTTTTGTAAAGATGACCGGTAAGGGGATCTTAACCCTTGACTTGGTGTTGTCAGCACCACACTCTCCCAAGTGAGCTAACCAGCCATCCCTATATAGGGATCCGAACCCGTGGCCTTCGTTTTATCAGCACCGCACTCTCCCAAGTGAGCTAACCAGCCATCCCTATATAGGGATCCGAACCCGTGGCCTTCGTTTTATCAGCACCGCACTCTCCCAAGTGAGCTAACCAGCCATCCCTATATAGGGATCCGAACCCGTGGCCTTCGTTTTATCAGCACCGCACTCTCCCAAGTGAGCCATGGGCCAGCCCTTTATCTTTTATTTTAAACATAGTTGAGAACCTGCTGTGTTAATATTTTGTGACTAACATTATAGAGATGAACTTTAAAAAAATATAAATTGAACTCTAGCATATGAAAATTAAAACCAAAAACCATTTTCGAATTTTCCTGTTTGAACTGCATTTGTAAATAAATGCCTTTATTGATGACTGATTACAAACCAATAGAAATCAGTCTGTGGATTACAGGCAGTTCCCAAATTATGACTGACCCTGGTAAGAGAAATGACACCTGCCAATGGCTGACAACTGCCAAACAAGATCCTAGATGCCTCAGCTCCTTCACTGCAAAACAATGAAGGCAAAGACAAGGTCATCAGGGACATCTACCCATGGAACTGCAAGAGCTCACAGAGTTCTGAGTCAGGCAGAACAAGAAATTCCAAACAGCAGCAGAAAGAGATGGCAAGAAGTGAGGCCCTGGAGGAGCCCAGAAGTGAGGAGAAGGTGGGGCTGATGATGCAGAGGCTGCCCTCCTGCAGCAGCCACCACTCTCCCCAGGCTCGCATGGAACATGCGGGATGGTAATGGTGCCATGCCAAATCCCCCTCATTCCACTTCGTGCACCTGAGTACAGGGGTTTTTACATTGATTTTTGCTGGGTTTTAATGTGATTTAGATCCCAGGTTCTAGCTCCTGGCTCTCCTTGGAAACGAGAACCAGGACACCTCTCCCACCCTATGGTCTCTTTGGATCCTGGACAGGCAGCTGTGGTGGTGAGCCTGAGGACTGCTGCTCATAAAGGGGCCCTCAGGGCTGCTGGCAGGAGCCTGTGTCTAAAACCTATAAACCTTCATCAGATACGCTTACTATCACCAAAACTCCAGATCCTAAATGCCTATTCTTACCGTGTCCATCACTCTCACTCTGCAGAGAAGTTGATTTCAAAACATCTGCTGAGGGGAGGAAGTGGTTACCCCTCGGTGTCCCCTACTGGAGCACTTCCCACTGGGAGTTAAGGATCAGGAAGGAACATGATGACAGCACCCTCACACTGCCCGCAGGGCTGAATAGAGCAAGCTCAGGATTCTCCCAGAGGCTGTTGAGGCTCATCTCTGGCCCCTGGGGGCTCCTGGGGGCCACTGGTGGCTGTGGGATGGAATGAAGCACACAGCTCTGGGAGCCCTGCGGTGAACTCCCTGGAATCTGTCTGCAACTCATTCAAGCCATTATCCAGCACAAGACCATGGGATGTTGTGCATCACAGAGGGGCCGCTCTCGCCTGCTCCCCATCCTATCCAGCCCTGCAGGGTTTATGCACATGCTGCACCACAACTGAACTCTGTATTTAACTGTATGTCCATTAGTGATAAACAGAGCAAATAATCAAGGTCACTCCTCTCCACCCACTTGAATTTCTACTTCTCTCCTTTGCAACAGAGTGTAATGGCTTTAGAGATCTAGTGGATGTGCACAAACGTTTGACTCAAGCAAATTCAACAACAGGCTTGAAAGGTAAAGCAGGCAAGCTGCAGGCCTGGCTCTCAGTGAGTAAGTGCTCATACAGAGTACATGCTGGGGCAGAGTCTTCCGGTCGTAGCTAATTCCAGGTCCTCGTGACGCCTGAGTGTGAGCTTTGCATGGTGCTGAGTGGGCATAGGGTTTAAAGGTAGGCCATGTACAGGAATCTATCCAAAAACCCACACTGTGGGAGCTGGGCATTAGGAGTGACCTACAGATGCTGCAGGAACACCTGCCCAAGTGTGATGCTTACCTCACATGCTGACCACAGAACCTAATCACGAAGTAAAATGCAACTCTGTGACACAGTATCTCCTCTATGATCTGCATGCTTAAAGAGATTTGAGTTGACTTGATCCAATCATCTAAAGAAATTATCTAAGTTCTTAACTGTAAGAGGTTTGCTGGGGACACATGCAGAAAGTTCACTGAAGTAACTGATTTTTAAAGTCTAAAAATGTTAATTTAGCACATGAAAATGTGTGATACATTAGTGGGTGCCAGTGCTAAATGGGAAGTACAAAAGGGCACAGTTATGTTTAACAAAAGCTTGTTCCAAATAAAGAGCAGCTTACACTTAACACAGAATCAATCTCAGGCTGTACTGAAGGAGACAAGCATTATAGACGGATTCATGATATCAGATTTGAATGTGAAGTAGACAGAATAGATTAATTCCTTTGCTAAAGGTTCTTCTCTCATTCAACATTTAACGTTGGAATAAAATAATTTAAAAGACCTGATATTGAGACCAAGGTCAAACACTTTCAAATGACCTCTTGAATAGAACTTTAAGATTTACCTTCAATAAATAATCTTTATATAATTAAAAAGATAAAAGGATAGCAATCAATGGGAAATGGATTACGAAAGAAATGTAACTGTGGTGCACATCATATGCTGTCTTATGTTATGTGCGTGTCTTTCTAAAGAAAGCAATCGTGGCAGACAACACATGCGTCTACCCAATACCCACTCTCTGTTCTTAACAGAACTGTGTCTACCCAACACTATATGTCAACACTAGCACAGGATGACAATATCATCACAGAATTGTCTATAGTATAGACAATAGCATGTGTCTATCCAACACCCACTCTCCCTGTTATTAATAGAACTGTGTGTCTACCCAACACCCACTCTCCGTTATTAATTGAACCGTGTGTCTCCCCAACACTGTATGTCAACAATAGCACAGGATTACAATACCATCATAAAACTGTCTACAGTACAGACAACAGTATGTGTCTATCCAATATCCACTATCTCTGTTCTTTTGAACAGAACTGTGTGTCTACCCAATATCATATGCCAAAACTAGGACAGTATTACAATATCACAGAATTGTCTACAGTACAGACAACAGCATGTGTCTGCCCAATACCCACTCTCCCTATTCTTCCTAACAGAACTATGGGTCCACCCAATATTATATACCAGTACTAGTACAGCATTACAATACCATCACAAACTGTCTACAGACAATAGCATGTGTCTACACAATACCCACTCTCCCTGTTCTCCTTAACAGAACTTTGATGTTGTTTAGGGCAGCAATGTGTCCAACTGAAGGCCCCATTTCCCAGCCTCCACTGCAGGTAGGCAAAAGCATGTGACCCTGTTCTCATCAATAAGAATTAAAGGAAACCACTAGGTGTGGCTTCTGGGAAGACTGCTAGAGGGGCAGAACCAGCCAGCATCTGCTTCCTGCCTTTGCCCTTCTTCTTCTTCCTTCCTGGAATGCAGAGTTGATGCTGGAGATGGGGCAGCCATCTTGCCAACATTAGGTCAAGCAAAAAGCATCCTCCCTCAAGGCACCACATACTAGGTCTGGATGGCCCACCTTCACACTGGCTGCATGAAGAGGAGAGAACCCTGGGTGGCTAGAGCCCTGTAGCTGCTCTGTCACAGAGAGCTGGGTACAGGTCAAGACGCAAAAAGAGAGTACTCACAGTCTGCCGTGTACTCCACCTGGGAGGGCTGCACAGGCGTGCCGTCTGCAGTGTGTGGTGTGGGGGCAGAATTGTCAGCCTGTGCTTTACGGACAAGTGCTGCTAGGGGGTGATCCGGGTCCACCACCTTTAAGGGCTAGAGACAGAAAAGACACACGGCATTAGCCTTTTCTGTATTCTGAACCATGCAGAACTTCCGTTGTAAAAAGGCTCAAGTCAACTTTAGAATACAGTGTATATGCCTGAGAAAAATCTCAACACACACATGCACACACATGCACGTGCACATACAAAGGTCCTGACTCAGTGTGGCCAAGTCTCCAGCTGGTTATGAGTTCCAGAGAAACTGAATAACGCATGGCTTCAATCTCTGTAATAACTACTAAGGAAAGGAAGGAGGGAGGATCAGGATTAGACTGCTACTGATAAAAGTGTGAACACCCAAGCTCAACAAAACTTGAAACCTTGTCTGTCCTCAGAAATTTCTGATTCTAAATCACTAACAGCTTTTATATTCCAATCAATCAGGAATCATTCCCTCAAGGAAATGATTTTCAGCATGACTGCTGAAAACCATATGCTTAAGTCTAATGAACTCCTGTTTTTTATATTACAAATGGCAGAGCGAGTGGAGTGAGTTAACTGCAAGATAATGCTGAGTGATTTCTTTATAAGGATGAGGGGAAGATCATAAGTAAAAACATTTATTTAAAACCTATCTATGAAGGTAACAGAGGACTTCAAGAAGTTCATATTCTGAATACCTATAAAATCCAATCCTATAATGAAATCTACATGACAAAACAATTTCTAACTCTTAACCAAGAGTCTACTTATTTGCCACCAAGCTAAAAACAAAAACACACAGTACACCTCAAAGATGATAAAATAAGATATAGCTATCACACACAGGAAATGGCATGCTTAATAGTTTCCAAAATTAAATTTGTTGTTATGGCATAAAAAACCATAGTTCAATAAGGGATAAAAACCTTCATCAGCTCTTCAAGGCGGCTGCACTTCTTAGAGGCAAAGAGAGATGGGTGCAGGTAATTCCCATCTTCTTCTTCGTCATCGTCTTCATTGTCAGAGCTGACCCCTGATTCTGAAATCAAATCACATTTCAAGATTTTGGTGTAAAATGAGAGAAAAAAGTACAAAAAATTATGTAAAAACTTAGAAGCAGACAAAGGCAGAGCTACATATGGTCGCTTCTTGGTTGTCTGTCCAAAAATCACCTTTGGAAAATATTCCCTACAGAGTCACCCAGGTTGTTCAGAAGAAAGCCAGACAGAACGGAGCCTAGGCCTTGAACATCTGGCAATAACTTTTAATATAATTTATTTAACCATTTCATTTTTGTGGACATGTATAATATAACCTTATGGCCCTAAACACTCTGGTACAAGTACACTGGTAGAATAATCTGACAAAGTATGAAAGTCACTGTTTTCTTCATGAAATGTTAAACACCCGAAATGAGATGAAAAAAAAAATTTTTTTTTTCCTTTTTTTTTTGTCTTTTTTTCGTGTCCGGCAATGGATCGCAACCCTCAGTGTCGCGCCCGTACCGGACCAGGACCGGCAATGGGATTGCAACCCTCGGTGCTGGTGCCCACACCTCGCTTAGCCAGTGAGCGGGAACCGGTCTGTATGTGGGATCTGAACCCTCGGCGGGAGCGCCACCACACTCCCAAGCGGCGCACTGTAGCAGTGCGCCACTGGGCCGGCCCCGAGATGAAAAATTTCTAACCTAGTTGATTATGTTCTGATAGCATCAATGCAAGTATAAAATAATTATTTCACCTATCTATAAAATATTAACTGAGAATTTAATAGGGTGCACCAGCAGGATTAATTATCATGCTTTACTGGCAGTATTCTATCAACATTCTAGAAATTCTAAAGTTTACATTTCAACCATGCTTCTTTAAGAATAAGTATCTTTATACTTTTCCCAGAACTGTCCCTTGCCTGCCACACTTATCCCCACAACACAGGCCCAAAGTCTAAATGGGACAGAAACAGTTTTACATACTTTTCTTCTCTTCATTTTTGTTTTCTGCCAGTACTGTATATCGTCCTTCCTTCATAGCCTTCTGGATGAATTTGTAGTAAGGGTTGAGGTAGTGGTCGAAGCGTAGAAAGTCGAACTGAGAGTTTCGTGCCTGCTTGGCTTTCAGCATTATTTCAAACTGTGCTCCCTGCTTGCACACGAAATTGGCTGTACGCTCGATGATGGCATGCATTTTGGCTGTTGGTGGCTGTGAGAAAACACACGCATTCATGTTATCAATTTGTCCCCTTTCCCGTTGGCTGCATGATTTAATTAAAGCATAGAAATCACCTGGTTTTACTATCAGCTTTAAGAGGTAAGAGACATTTCAGCTGGAAGAGCCCAGTCTGTGTAGACCCTGGTACTGAACCTGGTTATAGGATACTTGTCTACCTATGAATCTTGCCAGTATTTTGGGGGGGAGAAAACTCACTCACTGAGACAGGCCATTCCACCTCTGTACAGAACTGATGGGAGACAATGTTTTTGCACCAAATCAACACCTTTCTATTTAACAGGGGTCTTTAACCTGGGTTCTATGATGGACTTCAGGTGGTTTGTGAATTCCCTGAAGTTGTATGCAAATACTGCATACACACATGCATTTTTCTAGGGAGAGGGGCATATGTTTCAACATTTCTCAAGGATCTAAGAATGAGTCTTTTTTTTTTTAATTAGCTAGGACTAGTACTTACAGCTCGAGGGTTCCCTCCTACCAAACAGCCCTTTGGATCATCTAAAGAGCCACAAACTCACACCAGGTCTTCCTACCACCTTCCTCATTCCTGTTCCCTGTAGGATGCAGCCCATGGCTCCAGCTCACTGCCATCATTCCCACTTAAAGCACAGTGTTCAAAAACTAAGACAGCCTCGGCATGGCCTGGCCAGAGCAGGGCGGGGTGCTCCAGGCAGCAAGTCCTGCTGCCTTACTCTGGGTTTACTACTTTTAGCCAATCCCTGCCTCTTCCTTCATGTGCTGCTAAAGAGTTGCTTTCACCACATTGCATGCCTTGCATTTCCTGCCCACAAATGGATCTTTGACTGAAAGCTGGAAGCCACACATCTAAAATACCTTTAATATCAACGAAGAGATCAACACTAGGAAATTACATGCAAAGAAAACTGGAAATTATTCTCATTACAAATGGGCAGTTAAAAATTCAAGAGGCTGGGCCGGCCCGTGGCTCACTCGGTAGAGTGCGGTGCTGATAACACCAAGGCCCCGGGTTCGGATCCCACATAGGGATGGCCGGTTCGCTCACTGGGTGAGCGTGGTGCTGACAACACCAAGTCAAGGGTTAAGATCCCCTTACCGGTCATCTTTTAAAAAAAAAAAAAAAAAAAAAAAAAAAATTCAAGAGGCTTATTGTAATTTGAGGGCCTCAGCCTTCATAAAAGATAAATGGCTTATTTCTCAAATTTAATTTCTGAACTAATAAGATCCTTCACACTTAAAAAGGATAAATGTCTACAATTAAAGTTATTTACTGATTCCCCAAATAAATTAGATTCCATGTTAAAGGCCCACTATGCACTGAAATAAGGATCCTGATGCAGATTTTCATTGGTTTTGGCTACATAGGAAGATTCATTTAAAAAATAATATATGCCATAAAACATCAATTATTAATAATCCTTAAAGAGAAATAAAATTTCCCCAGTACAGGCTGTCTCTACTGACCAAACCAACTTGTTGGTCTATAACTTCTTAAAAGTAGGCCTATTTATAGCATATTATTACTACTACAGCAGTTAAAAAGCAATATGTAGGTGATTTTAAAAAGCAACAATGATCACACAAAAACAAAGCATCTTACGAGCATATTTCAGGACCTACTATCAGAATAAATGGATATGTGATAAAAATATCTGCTTTGAAAAAAGCCATTCTTTGCTCTCCTTATGCAGATTTTAGACAAATCCTTTTCTATTTAAGAATATCATGATCATTCCTACTGTAAAGTGAGATTTTAAAGATATAGTCAACATATAAATATGCATGTGTTACAAAGACCACCTGACAAAACAGGAAATGTTTTTCTAGTTTAAATCCAGTGGGGAAGCTCTTTGTTTATGACAGCTGACTGAGCCCAAGAAGGGAAGCTAACGCCTCCCCTCTCCTTAGAAATTCTATTAACAAGGCTTTGAACTCCAGAGCAGGAACTGGAAAATGGGGGAATGATATCTGCAGGTCAGAAAACCCACACCAACGTTTAAGGTTCTCTAGGAGCTGTGAAAAATGTGGGTGCTTCAGACTCAGCATGGAGAATGAGATGGAAGGTGGGCAAATAAGTGAGGAACTCAAGGAGGAGCTGGGCCAGCCCTCTCCAGCTCTGAGATTAGGGGAGAGAAAAAATTAAGTACCTGCTTTACCCCAGCCCCAAATAATATCAGATTGAGTCATAATTCAAATGTAAAAACAAAACTACAGAAGTATTAGCTGGAAATGTAAGGAAATACTTTCCCAACTCTTGGGGGTGGGAAAGGTCTTTCAAAATAAGCTTTGAAACCCTGAACCCATAAAGGAATACAGTGACATATATGATTCCACAAATACACTTAAATTCTGCGGGGAAAGAGTCATATAAATAGTTATAAAACAAAATGCCAGGAGAAAATATCCGGAAGACCTAGTGGACCAAAGCTTAATGTTCATCAGACATCTAGAGTCCTAACAAATCCAAAAAAAAGGCAAATCACCCTTAGGAATGCAGGAGTAAATCAGTTTTTTTCCTCCCCACCCCATCCCATGGTACTACAGTACCTAAATTATGATGAAAATAATGCTCTAATCTGCGTAACATTCAACAGCACTTAACTTCAGCAGTTTTAGGGTTCTGGAGTCGGCTACTTGGCTTGAAACCACAGCCTGGCCCTTACTTGTCTAACTCCGGGCAACTACTTCTGACCCCTCTAAACCTCAACGTTTCTCAGCTGGGAAATAGGTAACACTGTATCTAATTTTAGAGTTATCCTGAGTACTAAGAGAGTACATGAATAAAGAAGCACTTTGCACAGCACCTGGTACACAGTACATGCTCAATAAATGCTTACTTCATTATTCCTCTAACAATGAAAATGTTGCACATAACAGCAATTATATATAAAATCCTTTCTCCCCCGCTTGTCCATAAAATGTGTTGGAAGGAGCACATTTCCCTTAGAAAAACACCCTAACAGAGGCCTGCTGAGCAGCTGTATTTCTGGTCCTCATGACAGACCAGAGTGGTTGAGGGGCTCCTGTTCCAGGAAACTGAGCAAAACACAAGGTGGCAGAGAACAGGCAGTTCCACAAAGTCCCGAGCACCAGGCAGACATTATCTGTGGCTCAAAACTGCAGTGTCTCAGGAGAATGAGGTGACAAGATGGGTAGAGAGGAGCTGGGGGACAGCATCCACCTTCCCACCCACAACTGCTCACTCAGTGCCTGCTGAGTTCCAACACAATGAGACAAAACCAGGGATGGAGTGCACTCAGCAGCCCAGCAGGAGGGAACTCAAGGTATGACAGACAGGTGGTCAGCTCCCCGGGAAAGGGACCAACTGACCATATCAGGAAAAATGACGCTGGGTTACATATTTGGGAAAAGAACTGGTCCTTACTTTCCATGGAATGGAAAAATATACACAGAAAGTAATTATAAAAAGCTAAAAATAGCATTGTAAGATCACCTTACAAGCTTGAGTCTAGAGGCTCAGCTGGACATGGGGGATTTATTATGGAGGTGAGCAGGAGGTGAGCACATGTCTCCCAGAGTGTCATGATTTCTAACTGTCCTCACTCTTCATTCAAAAACCTGAAGGGTTCTGTAATCATTAGATTCTAACCCAACAGCTTAGATTAAAAATGCGAATCCCCTAAAGTACCTGCTTTCTTTACCAACAGCCTCAACCTTCCCTGGTCAGTGAGTCAAACCAATCCCTGCCCACTAAGGCAGTGATAGCCCACTTTAACACAACTCAGCAATTCCAATGTTTAGTCACCCAAATAGAACTTACAATGCAAACACTTTTGTCTTCAACATCTTCTCCACTAACATGGACATTGTACTGTAAAATTTATACAATGAATTACTGCCAAAAACTCACATTGTGAAGGATGAAATACTGACACTGCCATAAAGTAAACGAAAGATGCAAACCAGAGACTCAATCAAACACTCAGATGCTGTTTCTGTATAATCAAAACAACTCTGTTCCAGAAACCTTTTCATCTCAACAGTGGAAGAAACTCCTAACAGCAAGAGAGCACATCACCACACATTAAGGCTTATCTTGCCCTCCAATGGGTGGTAAATGTTTTGGGCTCCAGCAGACTATTAAACAGTTTAGTTATGCTTACTTTGGCTGAGAAAACACAGACATTAGATATTTAAATAAGAATTAAACAAAGCAACCATATTCTGCTGTGCCTCTATATCTACATTTGCAAAAAAAAATAAAAAAATCTTTCATACCAAAAAACCAAAATAAAATTCCATGTAGTCAACTTTAGATAAAAGTTTTTAGCATTAAATACAAGGTAATAGAGCAACTGTGATTTTTAAGGCTTAATTTCAATGGGTCTCTTATGTAGAACAAATAGCCTATTTCAGAAAAAGGTGGAACACAATACATACCAATACACAGAAAATATATTAACACAAGTCTTAGGATATCAAATCTTCAGATAATATTTTCAGGTTTAATCATAGCAAAATAATCAATGGGGAAATGGGGAAGCAAACATAATGAGTAATTACACTAGGCAAAATCCAAAGAAATTTTTTCCCATATTTGTAAAACAGAAAGAGAGGATACGTAAATAAATAATGGGTGGAGGCAGGAATTTAAAAGGCTATTTTGATATCTCCTTTCACATAATGAAGAACAAGAAAAAAAACCCCAAAAAAACGAAGGGCAAGAACCACTGAATTCTCACTGAACTAAATTAGGGTGGGAGCAAGTGACAGGAGGGAATGTATGCATGCTCTTTTGGGAAGCTGTTTTCAGCATCTACTATATATCTGATGATTCAGTATGCAGGTTACAAACCAGAATCTAGAATACCTGTGTTTATAGCACTTGCAACCCAGTTAGGAAAACATCAAAGAAAAACACTTTACACTGAGCATGAATACTTAAAAATCCCTCCCAAGTATACACATACAATATTTTAAACATCCCTAATAAACGTATAAAAATCCCATATAGCACCGTGACTCAAGATGGCACAATAGCTAAGACCATGGTTTTGAGCTCCCGCCTGCCATTTATTAGCCAAATTCTTGGCTTTCTGAATTTTCAGCTTCTTCATCTGTAAAAGGAGGATAGTAACAGAAATTATATTACAGGGTCATTGGCATGAAATGAGATAATACATAAAAAGCAGCATAGCCCAGTGCCTGGAATGTAGCAATCCCTTAATGAATGTTCACAAAAGAAAAACCTTGGTTTTGGCTTTAACACCCATTACAAGTCAACCATAATTTAACATAATGAAGTTGAAACAGCGGGATGAGATCAATGCTGAATTAAAGATAGTAACTAGCTGCAGGGCACCCAGACAAACAGGAATTCCACCTCAGTTTTCCTCATCAGTGCAAGGGCAGCCTGGGGATGTCACAGGGACTTAATCACAACAGAGAAGAAAACTGTACTGAAGTAAGAATGGCAAGAAAATGCAAGTTAAAGAGGTGTGTGTAGACATATATGCACAATCATGCGTCACTTAATGATGCGAAACAGTCTGAGAAATGTGCTGTTAGGAGAGTGTGTTGTCATGCGGAAGTGTGTTATAAAAGGAAACAGCAATGAATTTTCCTGTGATCCACAATGGCCACTAGTTGCCCATACAAGGGCCCTCTAAGTATGTTACTAAGTCTCTTTGTGTCTCACTTTCCTCACCTGTTAAATCAGAATTAGAATACTACCAGCCCTACAAAGTTATGAAAATTAAGTTACAGGTGGGGAACGTGCCTGGCACTCAGCAAGCATTCAGTGAGTGTTAGCTAACTGGTGTTAACTATTATTTTGCTATGGGAATGGGTAGGAATCATTTAAAAGTGCAAGGCTTCTAAAGCAGATGACAACCGCTTCACTTTGGGTCAGACCTAATGTGTCAAATGTTTGGCTTTCTATCTTGAAGGTCTGAGCTACCTTTGGGAGGGTCACCCCATGGGTAAGCTAGGCAGCCCTCCTACACAAGTTTTGTAGTAGGTCTGTTTACAGCAGTATCACCACAAACATATGTGTAATAGTACAACGTCAAGAAGGCTACAATGTCACTATGTGACAGGAATTTTTCAGCTCCACTATAATCTTACGAGACCATTGTCATCTATGTGGTCGTTGACCAAAACGTTTAGTAGTGCATGACTATATATGTACATATACACAGTGACCACAAAAATCACACTAGAAAAACCCAGAACAAAGCAATGTTGCCTTCAGCAAGACTGTTCTTATGTCTATATGTGGATAATAGTTCACTCGCCACTAATTCTGACTTAGTTTATCCACACAGGTAAAATCTGGGCACTCAGCTATATAATCGTTCAAACAGATCCAACTCCTTGGGTCCCTGATGCTATAGTCTAGTTATTTTGCAACTAATTCTTTCATTTTTCTTTCTGAGGAAAGTATGTAGGGTGTAATCTTTTTCTCCATTAACTTACAAATAATTTTAAAGCATTATACACCTAAACAGCAGCTATGATTATCATTGGTGCTCACACAGCAGTACTTAATAACAAGCAGTAATGATAAAGAAGGGTTCTCATGCCTGAGGAGCACACATACCAACTCCACGTCAGACGGGACATTCAGCCCTGACGGTGCAATGAAAGGTTCTTCGTTTTCCTCTAAGTTCTCAGCCTCAGTTTTTTCTGTATAAAAAGAAAATAAAAACCTTCAGACCCATGACCAGGAAAGAAAGCACCCACCAACTATAAGCAACAATCGAAGGAACAGCAGTGACTGGCATTCCCCGGTTCTTTACTTCTCTATCATTACTTGTAGAAACATTTTCCAGTTTTCTCTTCTATTCCACCACATCTAAGTAAACCCACTTTGCAAAATTCCAAAAAGGTGGGTGGTGTGGCAGAAGCAGCATGTTTACAGGGGTCAGATCCCAGCCTGAATTGAAGTCCTGCTACTTGTTAGCTCTGGGATTCTGGGCAAGTGTACTGGAGCAAATGAGGAAATTGTTTTCAGCCTCAGTTTCCTCATGTGCTCCAATACAGTAAAAGGATTTACTCCCAGGGCCATGTGAGGTGTAAGTAACATAACTAACCTATGTGAACATCTCTACCACAATGCTTGACAATTAGCAGGTTTTCAATAAATGTTCCTTTCTCTTTCCTTCCCAGCCTCTTTTTTATGTATGTATTTCACTGATATTGCCAAGATCTCTCTCCAACTATTTCTGTGGATTCCCTATAGCATCAGGTCTAACACATGGTAATCAATTCTTCAGTAATTGATTTTCATTATCAAATTGTTAAATACCTGTGCATAACTGCCAACATTACCTAAGCAAACTACTCCCTCTCACAAATTATCAGATACATTTTTTCTATTTCTGTTTATTCATTAATGATTCATGTAACAAATATTTGTCTACTAATAAAGTACCACACATTTTAACTTTCTGAATTCCAAGGTACCTGAATATAGTGAAATGTACAAAAATACAGAAAACTTTAAAAAGCTAATTTTTGAGGATTACAACATCTACCTAGGGTTTTTATTTAAAAAAAGATGATATTGAAGAAACAAACACTAAATCTTCATTAAAATAAATGTTTCTATCATGTATAGTGAACCTCTTGAAAAGATCAACAATTTGCAAAGGTATCCTATTAAACCCAATTCTTCTGTGAAACCAAAGAGGAGTTTTAACCAGCTTTCATTATATACAAAAACTTAGGCATTCTAGTCTCATGAGATACAATTGATTATAAATTCCTATGAAGTAAGAGTTATTCAACACTGTCCCACCTGTGTCTGTTTACACATCCCTTGTTCTCGCTTGAGAACCAGAGGTGAATGGGAGAACAGAGGTCTACCCCTCCCTCGAAAGTCCCTATAATTAGCAACCCCACTGTTCACCTCCACTAACTAAATGACATGGTGGAATTGGAAGTTATCAGAAACTCTGGTTTGCAGAGATTTTCTATTGGCAAAATGCCAAGCAATAACTTAGCTTTCTCGAACTCTCTTTGGGAATGGGGCCTGGAATATGTGTTTAAAGTACAACTGTTACTATAAGGGGTCTTCAAAAACTTCACGGAAGGACTCATATTATCTTTTAATTCTATTTTTTTTTTGTCTTTTTCCGTGTCCGGCAATGGACCGCAACCCTCAGTGTCACGCCCGTACTGGACCAGGACCGGCAACGGGATCGCAACCCTCGGTGCTGCGCCCGCCCCTCGCTCAGCCAGTGAGCGGGAGCCGGTCTGTATGTGGGATCCGAACCCTCGGCGGGAGTGCCGCCGCGCTCCCAAGCGGCACACTGTAGCAGTGCGCCACCGGGCCGGCCCCTTTTAATTCTATTTTTCTATAACCTTTTTTTTTTCCTTTTTGTCTTTCTTCGTGACCGGTAATGGGATCGCAACCCTTGGTGTCGCACCGGCACCGCGCTCAACCAGTGAGCGGACCGGTCTCTATATGGGATCCGAACCCTGGGCGGGAGCGCCGCCGCGCTCCCAAGAGCCGCACTCCACCAAGTGCGCCACCGGGCCGGCCCCTTTTCCATAACCTTTTTTTTTTTGTCTTTTTCCGTGTCCGGCAACGGATCGCAACCCTCAGTGTTGCCCCCGTACCGGACCGGGGACCGGCAACGGGATTGCAACCCTTGGCGTTGCTCCCGCGCCTCGCTCAGCCAGTGAGCGGGAACCGGTCTGCATGTGGGATCCGAACCCTTGGGCGGGAGCGCCGCCGCGCTTCCCAAGTGGCGCACTTATCCAGTTCGCCACCGGGCCGGCCCCTTCCATAACCTTTTTGAAGTATCCTTGCATATTTTCCTAAAATGAAAAAAAATGATTAAAACTATGTTTAGGGCCGGCCCGATGGCGCACTCGGTAGAGTGCGGCGGTGCTCCCGCCCAGGGTTCGGATCCCGTATAGAGACCGGTCCGCTCACTGGCTGAGCGCGGTGCGGGCGCGACACCGAGGGTTGCAATTCCGTTGCTGGTAGCGGTATGGGCGCGACACCGAGGGTTGTGATCCCATTACCAGTCACGAAAAAAGACAAAAAGGAAAAAAAACAAAAAACAAAAAATAAAACTATGTTCAAATAGCCTTTCCTTAAAGTTGCTCACACACAAAAAAGACATTCTGAGAGACTGTTTGGAATAGACAGGTTAAATAGATTTATTCTATTCTTACACACGCCTTTATTTATAGAAAAATGGCTTCAGTAACACAAAATAAAAACCAACCACTGCTATACAGACTCAGATTCAAATAATAATCTTTTCTTGTTTAAATAATGGATATGTAATAATGATGAAAAATTATGAAAATGTAAAGGACAGGGACTAGGCTGAAAACAGCATGCTTTGAAAAGGAAGAGAAGAAAAGTTAGGTTACACAGAAACAGAAGTACCATCAAAATGCTTCTGGCTAATATCACAGAATTTTGAAATACTAAAAAAATGCTAGGAAAATATAATAATTTTGAAAACCAGGAAAATTAAGACATGTTAATGGCTCAAGAAATTAACAAAAAATATTTCATTTTAAATTTTTTTTTTTTTTTTTGTCTTTTTTACTGACCGGTAACGGGATCGCAACCCTCGGTGTTGCATCCGCACCGCGCTCAGCCAGTGAGCGGGAACCGGTCGCCACATGGGATCCGAACCCTCGGCGGGAGCGCCGCCACGCTCCCAAGCAGCGCACTCTCCAGTGCGCCACCGGGCCGGCCCTCATTTTAAATTTTAAAAGAATAGGACACTAAAGTAAAATTTGTTAGTGGTACTGGTACCAAACTGAATTCTATTAAGAGTGCGTGTGTACATGCAAATGTGTATGGTGTTTATATTAATGCAAGTTAAACATAAAATATCAAGCTGTAAGTTTCACATGGGCCCAACTTCCATTAAAAAATTAATCAGCACATAAGGCAAAGTTCTGAGAATATAATTACAGAAAGAAAAGAAATAACACAATAAGATGCCAAAGAGAACTCTGTTAAAGAGAAAGCATGTTAAAACTCAGAAGATAACTAAGTCACATTGAAGTTCTCAAAATTCAATAATTATAACAAAGTTTAACATCATTTAGTCCAATAACTGCACCAAGACAGTGGTCCAACATTTAGAACAGGGGTTGACAAACTCTTTGGCAAAATGCCAGATAATAAATATTTTCAGCTTTGTGAGCCATACGGTCTCTGTCTCAACCACTCAATTCTGCTGTTGAAATAAAAAAGCCACAACAGATGATATGTAAGCAAATGAATGTGGATGTGTTCTAATGAAACTTTATTTACAAAAACATACCCACAGGTCCTGCAGTCATGTTTACTGATCCCTAATCTAGAATGTTAGGCAATTAATATTGTGGATTTTTCTAAAGATTGTCACTACGATCTTCAAAAAGACATTGGCTTTTAGAAATTTCAATTCTTCATTTATGAAATGGTGATAGTATGTATTCCTTCATTCTGATGAAAAACACTATGGGTTTAAAGAAGAAATAATGTATGCAGTCCAGAGACAAGACAACAAAATCTGAACAATCCAAAACACTAACAGGGATAACTTATTCTGGATAAATGAACAGATGTTTACTTTTAGACCTGCAAGAACATTCCCATTGCATCATAACTTCTGGGGGATGGTTAGGTTCAAAAGTCAGTGCAAAAAGTGTTAAATACCTTAACTAGCCTTTAACTTAATATAGTTATGATTACACTTGAAGAGTCTCTTTAACAGCTCATAAAATAGAACTGTGCAACAGTGAATTTTCTGCCCACCAAGTAGTAAGTAGGGTTAAAGGAAGGGCAAAAAGGAAAGCCTGTATGTCTGTGTCTGCCCTTACATCTTACAGTTCTATTAGGATCTTATCTTGTGATGAATGGGGTTGGGGAAAACCCTAGGGCAGCTGCAGGATGAAAGGGCAGATATCATTTTAAGATTAAACTGCTATACTTACTTCATACTTGTTTAGAGATTTGTTACTTAAGGAAAAATCAATTAAGTCCCAAATAACAGATTAAGTTAGCTCTAAAATTAAATCTCAAGGGGATGTGATTCCACTTTATTATTCTAAATATTTGAATGGGTTTCTAAAGTTAAAGCTCTTCTTCTCTTTAAACATAATATCCTGAATATAAGTGATCCATCTTTAATGTTTTGGGCTCATATTTTTGTTACTGATAATTAATGATCATTACACAGTGCTGTGATAATAGTGCTCTCTTATTTCTGTATTACATGAGCTCTGTATTTTTCAGTAGCACTATTTTCTTGTATTCAAAATTCCCAGAGCTAACTCAGAAAAGCATAAATTTAAAATCTTTTGTTTTATATAAATATTATTTTAAAAAATTGTGATAAGTATATATCCCACATCCTACCTACCAAACTACCAGGAACCTCTGGGTTGTTTTCTGTTTAGTAATAACTAATTCTATAGGTGTCCTTCCACTGGACATCTGTCATTATTCCAGCTGTGGAGGGGACATGCAGGGGCAGGTAAGTATGAGGGTAAGGAGACATTAATTTATCCTAGTAAACGCTTATCCTTTTAATACCCCAAAAATGAATCACTGAGGACATTAACAAATATTTTATTAATCTAGAAACAAAGAATCCAGAGTGAGCAATTTTCTGCTACTTGAATCAAAGAGAAATAAATGAAAAGGCAACTTGATCCAATGCAGCTAATGAAAGTCTGAATTCATTTTCCATCTCCATTAACAATTCATTTTCTAATTTGTAGCTTTATTTTACCAAAAGAAGGAATACCACTAATATTTTTTATATGCATTACAGTGCCCATAAATGTATTTTGAAGACTTTTCTGTGATATATGCAGTCATGGATAGCTTGACAACAGGGATACGTTCTGAGAAATGTATCTTTAGGGGATTTTGTTATTGTGCGAACATTATAGAGTGCACTCACAAAAACCTAGATGGTATAGCTTAATACACACTTAGGCCATATAGTATAGACATTATACTCTTATGGGACCACCATCATACATGCAGTCGGTTGTTAGCCAAATGTCATTATGTGGTGCATGACTGTGGTATATTGCCATACGGTTATCACCCCAGGCAGTTTCTTCACTCTCACCTCTCTGTTTAGAAGGCTCCTCCTCCTCTGTAGGCTCTGATGGGTCATAATAGTCACTACCGTAAGTGAACCCCACGGCATTGTAGCTCCCATCTTCTGCTAGTGCTTCACTCAGTCGCTTGTATTCTTCCTCTTGAATAAAAATGAGAATTTTATTAACAAAAATGGAAATTTACTGAGAAAAATTTTATATATGTCTAAAGTTGTAGCTATCAGTAAAGCATATAACACACTTTTCAACCTCTTTTTGAGGCGAAATGTTTTTAAAAATTCACACATTATGTCTATCAATATGTACTTTTGCCAGTACACGTTTACCCACAGACAGCAGAATACTCGTCTTTTGTGGAAAATTTCTCCCTGCTGAGAAAACTCTGGGATTAAGAACTGTATTAAAGATTGTTATAGCAAAGACAAGAACATCAATTTTAATTTATACGATACTGTTAAAGAAGAACAGTTAAAGAGTTTGGTTTTTGTTTTTTTCAAATCCCAGTCTGCCCTCAAAAGCTGGGAAAATTCTTTGTGGCTCTATATATAAACTATCCTGAGGTCCTCTCAGAACGCAAAGACTCCTGTTTTTCCAATCCACTGGGTACTGTCAAGATAATATCAGAAAGAGTGAGTATAAAAAAATGAATGGGAGTAAATTTTTAATACTTAAAAATTTTTTAAAAGTTTGTTGCTTAAGTAAGTTTTTCTTGAGCAGTACCTTGCCTTGCCTCCTCCTCAAGCAAGTCCGTATGCAAGGCTAAATACCTCTCTTCATCACACAGGGCATCTATTCGTGCCTCCTCTTCGGACAGCTGATAATCTCTGTTCCATGTGGAATACTCAGCATCATACTCAGAAAGGTCATGCAGGTGACCACGTCCATCATATCTGTAATATGAACAAGTTGGTCAATGGAAAGAAATTAACGTTTAGGTTGGGGTGTGTGTGTGTGATATTTTATATATATGTATACTTACCAATTAAAATAAAGAAATAAATATATTAAAACAAATATAAAAACTCTTCTCAAATTTATATTTAATTTGGCTAGTCATCTCTCACCTACTTTTAAACTCAAGTTATCTTAACAAAGTCTGAATTCCTTTCTATAGTATGATAAAACTTATAATTACACGCAAGCAATCGTTCAACAGCATAATGGTATCCACTTCACTGGCAGTTCTTACCGTTTATAGTTTGGTCAACTATTCAATGCCACTTGCAAAAAAAACTTTTTTTTCTGAAAAGTTAAATATCATAGCTTACATTCACACAAACCGAATACATAAATACCTATCCGTAAGAACCAAACGGTCGAAATTTCCTCGCTTCTTTCTGCTAGTCCCGAACTCTCAGGAGAGATCTTCACCAAAGAAACTTGCGTCCATTGGAGGTAAAATCTTGGCTAGGCTCGCCCCCTAGCCACTTGGCTGAGGAAATAAGTGCTGGGTTATGTGATAGAGAGACACACATACATAGGAACAGTGACATATACATGCAGTTTAAGGAGGTTCACTGGAAACAGAGCACAACTATTAGAAGATGCAGTATCAATATTTCCTTCTAAACTTTATACTCGCAGGAAATAACATACACATGTTTCTCTTGCATGGACCAATAGGTTCTTCAGCCAAATTAAGAACAAGAGCACTTTCTGCTATGCTTTTAACTAACATACAAGATTCAATAAAGATGCTGTCAACATGTGACTGTCAGATAATAAATGAGTGAGTGAATTTTACTTAAAACACTCAGATTTAGGATTGTAAAAACAAATGCAGAGAGACAAACAAAAGTCTGCCTAATTTCTTAATGCTGACTTTTGTAATGGGAACTAAAAATATTAATGTAAAAAAAAAAAACAAAAAAACAACCAAACCAGACTTTTACAGCAAAAAAGGCCAAAAATTACAGGGTAGCTAAGTTATTGCATTTTATTAAATTTCAAAATTAATTTTACTTTGATGTAAACCTCCTTAACTTACAAATATAGATTATTATTTTAAAATATTACACATGTACATGTGTAGTGTTTGCTCCCCACCAGTTTTGGAAGACCTAACTCAAATCAGGTACAGAATGATATGGAAAACTGCATAAAGAGACTTCATCGTTTACCAAACTTTAATAATAAATATCACAAGTAATACTTTAGAAAAGCAAGCCTGATAACTCAGGCAACATCATTCAATATAAACCATGGTTTAAAGGCACAGCACATTTGAGCAGCATGTGGAGTCATCAGATTCAGACCTGATCTGATCTGGCAACCCTCCCTTCACAAGTCTTTGTTTTCTAGAGCTAACTCCAAACAGAAATGTCAGGGATGGAAAAAGGCCTATTTGGTCATTACTGTGTCCATTCTGGCCAGCACATAGGTCATCCCTACAGTCATGTTCCAGGGCTTTGCAGAATCCAGTTTTGTCTCACACGATGGACTTCCTTCACTTGGAGAGACTATTCCACAGTTTAATGGTTGGTCACAGTTATTTTCAGTCCGGGCCCCAGAAGTAGTGTTGCCAAACCGGCAAAAGCAAAACAAAACAAACAAAAAACCCCCCCACAACAAAAACCCACAAAAGCAAACTCCAAAACCCAAGGAGGAGGGGAAGAAAAGGGAGATTGAAAAAATGGGAGGAGACGGGGGAGCAAACAACCTACATCATGTATGTAATGTCATCCTTTTCAGATCAAACACTTTTAGAAATCCCCAGTGCTGGGCCCTCTCTGCCGCAAATCGCTAGACACCCTCCAGCGGGATTACCTAAAGCAAGTTTGATTTGAAAAGAAACAACAAATCTGTATCCCAGCTCCACCCTTCAGTTTTAAGAGACAGTGAAACCAGCCCTAAGAACACTACCTCTAAGAGCAAGGCCAGGGTCCGCACGAAGTCAACGGGCATCCAACTGACGGGCAACTTCACCCACCACCCCAATCTGTCAAATTCGTCCGATTATCACGGGGGAGGGGGCTGCTGGGGGAGTCAAATGTCATGCCGGCAAAGTACGAGCACTCCGCTGAGGGCGCTGGGGGCGTTAAGAGGTCCAGGCTAACTCCCGGGGTCCAACCGAGGCTTCTAAGCACGGCCTCTGCGCGGCGTTTGGGAAGAATGAAAGCGCGCCTCCCGGCCGCCCGCCCAGCACACCACTCAGGGCAGCCCCGGCAGGCCCCAGGCGCTGGCGGGGAGAGGCCCCGGGCGCGGCAACTCCCACTGCGCCGAGTAGCCAACCACGGCCGGCGACAGGGGCGAGGGGTCGTGAGGGCTGCGGCAACGGAGACGGTCCCTCCGGCGGTGGACGCTGCTCGACTCCAGCCAGTGCCTTAGGGCAGGTTTCACCGTCCCCTCCCCCCAGAACGCCAGGAGGAGGTGGGGCCAGGGGAGGGGTCCCCGGATCCTCGCGGGCTCAGAACTCCCCTTTTCAGTCCTGGCCATCAAGTCAACATAGACGAAATCAGGCGGGAGAGGGGAGGGTCGGCGGGTGGGGGGAGGAACCGACCTGTCGATGAGGATCTTGGGGTCCCCCATCCAGGGGATGAGGTGTTGTCCCTGCTCCTGGGCCAGAGCCCGCTCGTCGTCCCGGAATAGCTTGCAGGCATAGCCAAACACCAGCAGCTCCACTCGGCTCCCCCCGCCGCCGGTGCTGCCGGGCCCGGCCTCCTCCTTCGCGCCACCTTTCCTTTCGGACTTAGCGCGGCCTCCGCCCGCGCCGTACATGACAGCGTCCCCGGCGCGAAGTCCGGTCCTCTTCTGGGCTGCACGGCGTCCCGGTGCCTCCGCCTGGCCTACCCCCTCAGTCTCAGGCGCCGCATTCCGGCCGCAGCCTCGACTCCGCCGCCATAGCGGCCCGCAAAATGGTGGACGCGCCACTTCCGGCGCGGGCCACACTTCCGGCGCGAGCCTCAGATTCGTCACGGCGCGGGCCGCCCTTCCGGCGCGGCCCGCAGATTCGCCACGGTGCGGTGCAGGCCGGGCCACTGGGCAATTCACTGGTCTTAGTTTCCATTTTCAGGTGCGCCGCGTTGGTCGGATCTGCTGCGTGCCTGCCAGAGTGCATTTTAAATTTATTTCTTGGGCGGCCGCCGAGGACGTGGAGAAAGCACGGCGCCGGGTGGGCGACGCTGCGGTCCGAATGGACCCCGGCGGGAGCCCTCCCGGGCGGCGGTCAAAAGCTCGGAGGAGTTGGGGTTTTAGGGCGGGGCAGGGAGACCCCAGTCTTGGAGACAAATGGCCTGGAGGCGGTGTGATTTCTGGTCGGACTTTTCCCACCTAGTTCCATTACGATCTTTAGGGTCCTTTTAGCTTAGTAACTTCAGATCAGACGGTTACAGGGGCTGGAGTGGAAGAGTTCAGACTTAGGGACCAGATTCCCCGATTTCTCCTGGTGACTGAAAAAGTGTATCAGTGTAAAATAGACATTTTCCTTTCTGGGTCTTCGATCCCTTCTCCCGTTAAAATAATGATGTCTTTCTACAAGTAATGTATGTGAGTATTTTCTGTATTAGTCCATTTTGTGTTGCTTGTAACAAAATACACGGAACTGGGTAATTATCAAGAAAAATGAAATTTACTGCTTAGTTTCTAAGGCTGGGAAGTCCAAAGTCCATCTGGTGGTGGTGACAGTGACCCAGGGATCTCACATTCCAAGATGGAGGAAGCAGAGAAAGCAAGACTCCTTCTTTTAAAGCCCTGAGAACGACACCCCTGACCACCATTATAAATTAATTCACTACTGCACAGTCACAGTGGGCCCTAAGTTTCTAATACACAAAACATGGGGGATACAATTCAAGCTTCAATGAGTTTCAGGGGGACATGATTCAATCCACTACATGAATGTTAACAGGTTTTTGAAAATTAAGCAACAAGCAGTTCCCAGCAAACGTCCTTTGCTCTTCTGGTTTCCTCTGTCTGGGTCACACTTCTGTCTTTTCACTGGCAGTTTTCACACTCATTTTTTTTTTTTTTTTCTTTTTCGTGACCAGTAAGGGGATCACAACCCTTGGCGTGGTGTTGCCCGCACCGCGCTCAGCCAGTGAGTGCACCGGCCAGTCCTATATAGGATCCGAACCCATGGCGGGAGCGTCACTGGGCTCCTAGCGCCGCACTCGCCCGAGTGCGCCACGGGGCTGGCACTTCACACTCACTTTTAACTCAGAATTCCCTTTCTCAGCATGGCCTTATCTGTCCATATTGTATAAGAGTTTCCCCTCACTGGTTGCTCACATGGCCCTGTCAATTTGTCTTGGTACCACTTACCACAACCTCACATTACATCATATGTTCAGTGCCCCACTAGAATTAGCTTCAGGAGAGCAGGGACTTGGTTGGGTTTACCTTAACATCCCCAGTTCCTAGAATAGCTCCTGACACACAGTGGGCCAAGTACTGATTACTACCAACAGAATGAGTGGGCCTGCAGCTGGGTTTGACCAGTCCATCATCTTCTATCTGGCTCTACAAGGCTGTGCCACTGCTGCTGAGGAAGACAGACAATGTCTTAGTTACTTAATAAATCCCGTGTTCATTACCCCCAGGTGTAGGCTGGCTTGTTGAGGTGCTGGGCTCCCTTTAAACTTTCCCTTGGGTTTGGGGAACAGCATGTGAAAGCAAATTAGGAGGCCATTAGCCTGAGGTTGTCCATAACTGGAGTTTTTACCTAAGCAACCAAAATTCAATGTAAACAGTGAAATGGAACTTAAGCTTAACCAAGCAGAAGCTGCCAATTAACCTCTAACTCGGGACTTTCCACTGGATTATATCAAAATAAGGCAAATGCCTAGCTGTAGCCAACCAAGTAATTTCTCCACTTTGCTTCTGTGTTTAATCTATGAAAGATAACTGCTCATGCTGCAGAATTGAGCTCTCTGAACCTCTTACAATTCTGAATGCTTTCCAATTCATGAATAGTTTTTTGTTCAAATAAATTCCATTAAATTTATTTTGTCTGAAGTTTTTCTTCTAACATTTCTGGTGTCAGAAGTGGGATCTTCAGGAGCATCTACCCCCCACCCTTGTTGATGAGCCCTGGGAGCAATGAGTCAACAGACATATGTACCCTGCTGTGCAGAATAGCTCTCTGGGTAGCCTTGGATGGACCCAGATCTCCCTTTGTCATTGTAGTTCTCAAGATTAATTGTAGAATGTGCTGGGAATGCAAGATCCTGAGATAGGGAGGGACTGGCTGGAAAAGCTCAGGCTCTGTTCCAGTCCTCCCCTAGAAACAGGATGTCCTTCAGTTCTTTAGCCCAGTGAGTCATGTAACTCTGAGGTATACGACAGTACTTCAAAAAGTTCATGGAAAAGCAGAATTTATAGCTAATATGAATCTTTCCATGAACTGTTTGAAGTTCCCTCATATAACTTGGGGTGAGCTGCCTCTTGGGATCTCTTACCTGTGGTGCAAGTGGGGTATTCCTTAATTGAGACTCCATCTGCCCTAGCAGCTTTCTGAACCTTGGGGGACTGGCTGACAATGAATCCTAGGCTTCTGTTGTCCCTCTACCTATCTGTATGTAGTAAATCCTCCTCACATAACTTGTGAATGAGTGTGTTCTGTCTCAGCAGATTCAAATAAGTTGGTAGCCAGAACACAGAGAATCCTCTTCATACACTGAGCAGTTTGTGCTCACTGCTTTTCACTGTGCATTTGGAGGTCACCACTGGAAGTTCCTCTCAGATACAAACTCCATAATGTGCGTCAAGTTCTCTGAATTATTTGAACATTTAAAAAAAAATCTCAACTAGGTCCAGAAATTGTGACAGAAACTGTACAGGGTCCAGTTAGAGGCCTATGGGAATTGGACTGAACCCAATAGGAGGCCTCTAGTAGGTATGGTTAAAAGAAGACAGGGAATAATGGGTTCATCTGGATCCAAGGAGTCTAGAATTCCTCCATTTGGAACTCCAGCCAATTTCATGGACAACAACTATCACCTCAGAACCTGTGCGTTTTTAGAGAAATGGGTGAATCTACCAAAGGTATCTTAGAGTTATGGTAACCACAGTGGGCAAGTTTTAACCTAGATAAAATTGTTCACTTGTAAGGCACACTAGAAAAGAAAGGATCCAAAGCACCTCAGAAACAATGGGATGTATTTTTGATTGGCATGCAGAAACTTTTAAAAGATTAAATGAATCAAAAATTGTCTCTCTGGGCTGGCCCGGTGGTGCACTTGGTAGAGTGCGGCGCTTGGGAGTGTGGCGGCGCTCCTGCTGAGGGTTCGGATCCCATATGGAGACTGGTCTGCTCACTGGTTGAGCGCGGTGTGGGCACGACACCGAGGGTTGCGGTCCTGTTGCCAGTCGCGGTGTGGGCGCGACACTGAGAGTTGCGATCCCATTACCAGTCACAAAAAAAGACAAAAAGGAAAAAAAAATTGTCTCTCTAAAAGACTCTTTATAAAAGGCAACTAATTAATGAGAAAAAAAATTGTACATTAAATGACTTAACTCTGGCTGCTCCTTCTGTTCTCTCTATCCTTCTCTGCCTTCTCTGAATCTACTAACATCTTAGCTCAGTTTCCTTCCCACCCCAAAGACAAAAATAAAGCTAGACAAATGCCTTATAAAGCTAGGACCTCAGATCAATCTTTTTAAACTACCTTGATGCCTTCTTCAAAATCTTGAGTTCTGAGCAGTAGTGAAAGTTTTCCATGTCCCAAAGGAAAACCCTCAGAAATTTGCTGAGGAATAAAAAATTCTCATGAGAGCAAATAATCCAGGACTTCTTGATCTTTACCAATATTCACATGGTGCCAGGACCTGGTGAAACCCATAAATGGGTGGCTGAAGCCAAATGAGAGGTATCTGTGAAAGACTTCAAGGATATAACCATTCAATCTTTCAAGGGCTAGGAAAATAGCAAATAACCTCGTAGAATTCATCCCCAAAATATTTCCTGAAAAACGCCACAAAACCTCTACATCTCAAAGGCACAGAACTTATACAGCAGGCCTAAATACCATCATTTACAAAGAGAGAAAGAAGGGTGTAGGTAAAGGCCCAGTTAGGACAAGATAACCAGGAAAAGATGGTTGCAAAACCCTGACTGGGCTGTCATTCAATCTTGTAAACTGAAAAAGG